TGTGAATTAGTCTAATTCTATGAAATATACACAGTCTCAACTGAAATGATATCATGATAGCAATACAGTCACATATTATTCTCCCCAAATGGCCTACGATGTCTACTGAAGGTGTTTTAAATGTAGATCTAATTTATGAAATTGTTACAAATTAGCTCAACGAAAGTCTGATTCATTCAAGTAAATCAGTTCGTCCTGAAAGGTTCTCTTTCATGTTTAGACTTAAAAGTCTGATTCATTCTAGTAAATCAGTTTGTCCAACGAATAATCATTTTTAAATTATACAATATTCTGCCCCAATTTGGAAGAAGGCAAATTAAATTTATTTATTTATATACAGTATCTATCTATCTATGCATGAATTACAATCCCCCATTATTATTTAAAATGAAAAAAAAAATGCTGTTTTTTTTGTTGTTGTTGTTTTTTTACGATTAAAGGGATAGTTGACCCAAAAATGAAAATTCTGTCATCGTTTACTCACCCGCCACTTGTTCCAAACCTGTTTACTTTTCTTTCTTCTGCTGAACACAAAAGAAGATATTTTGACGAATGCTGGTTACCAAACAGTTGACGGTGGCCATTGACTTCCATAGTAAAATATGTAAAATTATAACTTTGGAAAATCTTAATTGAAATGATAAAGAGCTATCCCTTTAATTCCATGGTTTGATATTTTGTTATTTAATGCTGTGACATTCATTCATTTTTATTTGTGAGTCCAAATAATTTTTGGAACCACAGTATATTGGCTGAACTAAATGTTTATTATGTCTGCTTATGATTTAGTGGGAAACTCATTCTGCACATTAAGCACCTGCTGTTTTGGCTTGGAGGAAGAAGAAGACTGCCACCTACTGTTCAAATTGCAATAACTGAACACTAGCCAGTAAAACTTCAGGTCTATTTCAGAGTCTACAGCCAGTTTGACTTTAAAGACATGAATGATCAGTTATGCCCCATAACACCGAGGCTTCTCCCACTCCTTCACTGTCTGTCATTGATGTCTGATGGGAACGCAGTAGGACAGGGACGCTTTCATCCCTCCTGAGGATGGTGGGGTGGGTGGGAGGGGTTTGCTATTAGCACCGATTATGTACAGATTTGTCATCGTCATAAATCCACAGCTGTCGGGGGCCTCACATTTTTACATGTCACTTCAAAAGCATTCCTCTCTGTCTCCGCCTGCTTTACAGCTTCTGTCCAACTACTGACGGCTGCAGAAGAGGGTCACCCTTCTCCTGAGCTTCTCCAGCGAGATGTCACGTTTCACGTCATGCTGCCTGGATGCTTGTTAGGAGCCAATTGGAAGCCCAGTGGTCCTCCGTACAAGGTGTTGTTTGAACCATGTGTCCTTTCCTCATCTGCCTTTCCGTCTTCCTCTTCTTGGTGTTTATATCCTTTCTTCTCCTCTCATCTCCTCCTTTCTTCCATGTCCAGCAGCTGGAGGACCAGTGAGAGAGAGAGAGAGAGTGTGTGTGTGTGTGTGTGTGTGTGTGTGCATGTGTGTGTGTGTGTGTGATCTCCTCTAACCAGCTGTTTGCTATTCCTCATGCTGACGGCCTGGGAGTCTCCCAGAAGCCAAGCTGAGCCCTTGACCCAGAGTCCCCCATCCTTTCTCAGATCTGTCTTAAACCGCACTGCTGAGACAATAGTAATTTGCTCACAATAAATAAATGTGCATAGCGTTCTTTATTGCACAAATATCGAATATTCAGTTTGGACACACCTTTATTTTTACTATTTTCCACAATTTAAAGTGATAGTAAAGTCCTCAGAACTATAAAATAACCAATGTAAGCATAAGAATTACGTAAGTATGGGAATTATAGTTTTTTTGCTTCTTCATAGTAGCCACCCTTTGACTAGATTAAAGCTCCAGTATGCACACTCACCATGAGGTGCATCCTGGGATGCGTCTTAAACTGTATTGCAGGAGTTACTAAATATTTGGACACAGTAAGATTTGTATTATGTTTTGATTTTAAAAATGTACAAAAAAAAAAAGAAATATTATATATATATATATATATATATATTTTTTTTTTTAGGTCAATTTTAGATTTTTTTTTTAACTGATGCATAAACTAAAAAAAATCCAACCTAGATTAATTAAAAATCAAATCAAGTAAAATCAAACTGGTGATAAATTCATTGTTTGACAATTTGTTCTTAACCACATGGAAGCATCATCATGTGATAATTTTAATCTTCTTAACCACTTTGAATTTAATTAGTGATTTGAATTTAATTACTGATGAATAAACTCTGAAAACGCAAAAAAAAAAAAAAAGACAGAAATTGCATTGTTGCTATTTTAAAAAAAAAAAGTCAAAATATTTTTACAATGTTTGCATAAATATATTTAAATGTGTCCAAACTTTTGACTTGTAGTCTATATAATGTAACATACAGAATAATTAACATTATCAAAATAATTATGTTAAACATCGATTTGAATGGAAATTTGGTCGATTTGGTTGGTGGTGATGTGAGATTATGGCTTCTTTGCTGTACAATATACTTACAATAAGTGGCTGTATGTAGAAATGTTGTAAAACAAAAATGTTGTAAAGCTCACAATTGTAGTTCCAACTATAATGAGCCAAATCAAATGTCATGGCCGTATAAAAAGACGTAATGCAAAAGAGCTGCCTGTTGTGTATTGTCGAAGCGAGACCCTTTTGTTTTAGACAGAGAAGGACACTGATGATGGTGATCACACATTCACCGCCACAATGAAGCATAAACCTGACAGGAAGTATAAAGTTCAGAGGTCAGCAGGACTCAAACAGGAGTGAATACAGAGGCAGTGCAGGGGCAGAGTGGGCTTGACCTGCCCTGTGTAATCTGGCCTCCCTCTACCCTCCCTGTGCTGGCCGTCTACTAATTCAGTTTGTGGGAAACTCCAGCCCTGCTGAAGGCAAATTCCATCTGGTGTTAGCGGGGTCTTATGGGGTTTATGGAGCCCAATCCATGGGGATTATCCTGCTCTGAATGGGCCGGTCCCCAAAGCTATGACACCATTAGCTGTAAAACTAAACATAACCCTGACTGACAAAACTTTCTATATAATTTTAACTGTCACCGTACTCTATATACAGTGGGTACGGAAAGTATTCAGACCCCCTTAAATTTTTCCCATCACATTAGTCAGCCGCAGTCTCAGCTGCTATGACAGACCATTAACCTGTCATTCATGAATAGACATTGGCTTAAAATAATTTTCAAGTAGAAAGAAAAATTACATAGACACATACCTTAAAGCTACATAGGTGTTTTGCATAATTTAAACAGTAAAACATTTATGAAAAATGAAACAATTCATGAAACACCAAACCTACAAGAAGTAACATATAACAAACCAACAAACATTGTACTTAATACATGTAAATATATCACATTTAAAAAAGCCTTCTAAGAACAAGAGTATAACAAGTCTGAAAACAAAATATTGAAAAATATTCATTATAATCATATTTAACCATATAACCACATTTGGATACCAATATCAATTGGTTTTTATATAAAAATATAATAAACACATTTGTATTTTAATTTTCATTAAGTAACCCACCAAATCACCAACGCTGTAAATACTTTTTCAACCAGCAGAGGGCGGTATTTCACCATCAGAGACGAGACAAACACCTGGAAACATCTCAGACTTATCTTAAAAATGTCCGAATAATCATAAAAATCATACATCTCAAAATCTTTCCAGGATGCCACATTCATACTCATTCGAGTTGGTCAGAGAAGCTGACGTGAAGACATTTACAATGTATTGTGAGAGACTTCTATTTCAAGCAAAATGCAGTTTATTTGAACTATATATTCAAAGAATGCTGAAAAAATGCATTATGGTTTCCACAAAAATATTTAGCAGCACAACTATTTTCAAGATTAATAAAGATCAGAAATGTATTTTGAGCAACAAATCAGCATATTAGAATGATTTCTGAAGGATCGTGGGACACTGAAAACTGGAGTAATGACCACTGAAAATTCAACATTGATATCATAGGAATAAGTGACATTTTAAAACTATTTCTATTTTAAATCGACTATTTTTCTGTATCAAATATGCACAGTCTTAAAAACTCGTACTGACCCCTTTTTTCAGAAGCATTAATCATTTTCCAAGTCTTGGTCTTTCAAGTTTGGTCATCCATCAAAACACCTCAACTGCTTGTTCAACAATAGTGCTTTATGAATACAGCATTTTTGTAGAAAGCCAAGCATTCTTTGATTTCCAGTTTGGTCAAAGTCTGTGTCTCCTGTGAAGCTAAACAGCTGAATTCATCTGTTCATAAGTGCTACATATGTCTGATTGCCTTCAATAGCTTCCCTCAAAGAATAAATGATCAGAAAATGATAAAATACTATACAAATTACAGTCTAGGGAGACCCACACAGGTTCCCGATTACCCTGATTACACATCAGTACTCCTAATCATTACAAAATGCTATACTAAGAAAAAAACCTTTTCAAAAATTGAAGGGAATTTAAAAAAAACACATAAAACTGTTGAAAAATCCTCAGCTCAACTGAAAATACTGCTAACAGGAAGTCACAGCATTGAGTAAATCAACTAAATAAATCATACACTATACAATATTTGGCCTTTGACTTCATTTTACAGAGTGAACAAGCTAGCATGTGAAGAGCTGCAAATTAGATAGCTACATTGTACTACTTTATAAACGTTGCTGCATATTTGCTGCATTTGCTGAAGGCTATTTACAGCTAGTGCTTTGGGACATGCTTTTGACAGGCCAATAGATTTGCAACATCTCATGAGAGACATTTAAAGAGAGATTTATCAAAGTACTGTGACAGCACTGTTCATATAAGAGGGAAGCCACTGATGAATGATTCTAATATCTAACTGATAAAAACAGGCTGGTTCTTCATTCATCTTAGACGTCATGCTGAGCCACAGGACATTTGTGCCTTACTTTGTCCATTTTCAGTCTTTCCTTCACCCCAGTTTCTGCTTCCTCCTCCTCATCCTGTACTCTGCTGGTGCTCTTTTCTGGCCCAGCCATTATGGGTTTGTATGACCACAGCCACTGATCATCCCAACCTCTCATAGGTATGAATGAAGTTCCGCCAAGTGTTTTTGCTCTATTTCTTCATGATTGCCAGCTGATCAGTCACAAGTATCCTCCTAAAGACAGGTTTGGATGAGGTCTGCTGTCGTTCTGATGCTGGTCGGGATGCTGTGCCAGATATGTTGTGTTACTCTCCATTGCATACTTTGTGTGGCTTCCATTCTGAAACTGATCAGACAAATGATTTTTGTATTATTAGAACAATTTGTAAGGTCAATTTGTTAGATCAATTCTAAAATTCATTAGAATCATCTTAATTATTAAATCCCAAGATTTTTCCAGCACTGATTTTCCAGCCTCACAGCAGAAGACTTGAACTGAATGGGCTGTAAACAATAACATACTGTACAGTGAACTAGTGAACTGGTTCTTTTAATTAACCAAATTCATAGAGTGCAACCAGTGTAGTACAAATAATGAACAAATTACTCTTTTCAGCTGGTCCTTATAATGAATGTACACATACACATATTTGTATATAAATTGTTAGTTTTACAAAAGTAAAGCTATTTAAATTGTGTTTTAAACTGATATATTGACTGTTATAATTGTTAATAAGCAGCAATTTTATAATTTGGGTCTTACTACCTTACAATTTAAAATGAATTTGGTCATAATGTACCATGTTAGACGGTTTCCTGTGTATTTAACCACATTAGTTGAGAGAACATTTCTTACATATAAGCAAAACGTTCACTGTAACTTCAATATATCCAAATGGATAAGAATTGAATCAAGACCTTGTGAATTGGAATCTGGAAATGTGTACCGATAACCAGCCCTAATCATTTTAATGACTGTCCATATACAACAAGGTTTTATTACAAATATTGATTTCATCACACATCAAATATATAAACATCAAAGTACTATAAGATCCAACTAGTAACAACGCTCTTCCAAAAGAGGATTTCTGCAGTGAGGCCATAGGAGAATCATTTTGGGTTCCTCAAAGACTCATTCAGTGATCAGCCCTTAAAATAATCATTTTTCTTTTGTGTCAAGAACATTTTCAAAAACGAAAGAACCTTTTCTACTATAAAGAAACTTTTGTGCAATGGAAAGCTTCCATTGATGTTAAAGGTTCTTTATGGAACCACAGGTGACAATGAAGAACCTTTATGTGTGAGAGTGAATGTAGGTGAGCCTCACATTTGGTTGGTTCTTACCTGGCCTATGTAATCTTGTTGATCCAGACTCGATCTGACACCCACTCCTCTGTTTTGTCCCGAGTGCTCGTTCCTCTCCACATCACCATCCAGGCCACTGAGCAGCACTTCAAGGTCCTGAGCAGTGAACTCACTCATACTTGTGTCACCTGCAGTGATATAAGGTGAAGAGTGCTGCTGGGAGCAGCTGAAGGACACAGTGCTCAGATGGTTCCTATTAGGGTGCTTCAGATCCTGAAGGGGCGACTCCAGGTAAAAGCATCCAGGCTGTTGGAGCTCTGGCTGGAAGAGAGGAGGAACCTGCTGAGTGTCGCTGACCAGAACTTCAGTGAGGTTCCCACAAACCTGAGCATTTTTGAGTGTTTTACACTCCAGCAGATGGAGAGGTGGAAGGTATGAGCACTGAGACTGTTGGCTTATCATCTGAACTTGGTGTTTTTGGGTTGTTATGTGTGAAGGTTCGCATTGTGTGATTCCCATTTCGTTATATGGTTGAGACATTACGTTTTGGAGATTTGGTATGGCCTGCGGTTCACTCTGAGGGTGTATTGGTGTGAAATATTGTGTCTTTGTTTCAGGATGTTCTGTTGTAAAAGTCATCTGTTGTTCCTGAGGTACTAATGTGAGAGGATCACATGAATCCTGTAAGATTAATGCAGATGCTCGCTGTGGAGGTGTGAAGGTCTGCATAGGCTTCCCGATGAGATCCTTCAGGCTGTCACCAGACATTATACAGTCTGCCTCCGTCCTGAGAGAGTGTTGTACATAGGAGAAGATGCCATCTGTGAGGTCTGCCACATCATTCTGACCACCGAGGTCAATCCTGAGGAACAGTTCATCCTGAAGGAACTTCAGATCTTCTGGTCTGATCCCTAAGCTCCCCATGAAGTTCAGTATCTCACAGCTGTCGTCTCCTCCAGAGTTAACGACTGGCTCTTGTTTGAAAAGAGAGCTTTCAGAGAGTGAAAGAGCACTTTCTTGCCAGTTACTGGAGAAGATGCCACCAAGATCCTCGTTCTCTAAACCCTGTACTGATACAGAGTGCTCATCTGCAGGACACACATAAATCGACTCATCCTGCTTCAGCATGGAGCCCAGCAGGGAGTCGGGGTCTACAGTTCCAGTGGATCTGGCTTGGGTACTGTCATCCAGAGCAGTGGTATCAGAAGGTATGGTGTTACTCTGAGATCTGAGCAGGTTCATGTCATAGAGAACAGCTTCTCCTGTAGTGAAGCTGAAAGGAAGCATCATAGCACGCTTTCTCAGGTTCTCCTCACCCTCCTCGTTCCTACAGAAGACAAAACGACTCATTATAAAGCACGACACCTAAGGAAACTATTTTTTTTTGCCTTTGCGGACTATAGATGAAAAAAGACAAGAAAAAAATTACCTACCACAATTCATCATACAAACACTGCAGTATACAGACCAATCACAATTAATATACAAATATTATGATCATATTTAATGGGGTTTAAGCAGACTATGATTGGAGAAGTCCAGCATAAGTCACCAGAGAAAAGTATGTTGTTTCACTGAAAAATTGAGTAATGACAATTTAACTAAAGTGAATATTTAATAAAACGTAATTTTTAAACAAACTTCTCTCTGTTAATGTATGCCAGACTTCTATCATTCACTTAAACCCCACCCCTGCATTCTCACATTCTTCTGTCTCCGTTTTTGAGTGCAAGGCACTAAATCCAATTTCAAAATCAAATCACAACCCATGGAGAGAACTAAGTCCCGCCCTATTTTTTATCAATGTATGTCGGAAGAAAAGCTCTGTCACTACTTCAGTCTCACTGCAAATTTAAAAATTACAAATATTATATGCGTGGATGAATCATTCACAATAAGATCAATAATACGCATTTAGCAAATAAATAGGGGGAATTTTAATTTAATACTGACTTTAAAAGTTAGACACAGCACACCCTAATTATTATATTATTTTAAAAAAGTACCTGTAATTACATTTTTACTATGAATACTGTCTAATAAGACAACAAAGAAAACATTTACAGGTTGTTCAACATGAAAGACAAAAGAAAGACACAAATAAGGGCATACGTGATGACTCTCTGTGAGGCGATGACGCAATCTGGTTGCCCATTTTTGTAGACAAGTCTGGCGTTGGATTGCACCCAAACCCAGATGTTCTGTTTTGTCAACAGTCTGAACACAGTCAACCCACTTTCACCCGTCCTCATCACTGCAGGGGAGAGAAATTATTAAACTCATTTGAAAAATCAACTGCAAAAGCAACTGATTTTGCTACCATTAATAATAATAGCAGTACATGCTTTTGATAGCAGTCTCCTTTTAAAAGATCAAAGGCAGGTAGATGTACATAGTATATGTATATTTGTCACTGGTTCTCATGCCTCAAGCAAGCATATTTGAGTTGCATGTGGGTTGATCAATGTTTATTCATGCCTAAATTAAATCTTTTCATCATATAAAGAGATCATGTCATATTTTTATTATGTATTTTGTACTTTTAGGAGTGTGAAAATTATAGTTGTGTGGACTTTAATGAATGGATAAATATGTTGAGAGAATACAAAACCAATCTTAGGTCATTTGTGTTTTGAATATCTTAAAAGTTTTGGAACAACATGAGGTTGAATATATGATTTTTCAGTTTTGGGTGAATGGTCCCTTTAGGAGCAATACAATTATTTCCACAACAGTTAGACCTCTACTTTCAGACACAAGCAATGTTGAAACCCAGTGGTGGGAGCGAGTGAGGTGAGTGTATTTTCTTTTATCCACATTGATTTAAGGGAGTCTTACTCCGTATGTGGTTCTCGGCGCAGTAGAGCATGTCAGCTGCATGGATGAACTGATAGCCTGAGCCACGGTAACACAGCTCTTCCTCCGTGTAGCCAAGAACAATCTTCCCTCTGTGGAGAAACAAAAAACACATGACTTTGAATGTGAGAGATACTGATGGTGAGAAAGCAGAGGAATACTGCACCAAATCACAAGGCAATCATTAAAAACCCAAACATACTAATCCAAGTTCTTTCATGACAACTCTCGGAAGGATTGCCATGGTAATGTACATGACAATGTTAATGTATTTGGTCTTGGCGGAATAGATCTGCTACGGTGCTGCGGCAGAGCAAGTACCGAGACTTGCTACTGCCAATACACCCACAACATGCTGCTGTGAGCATGTAAGAAATATTGCTGCTGCAAATATAACGTACATGAAATAACCCCCATATAGCATACATGAATCACCTTTTAGCAGATCTATACAGGTGGAGCTGGGGAAGGTGGAGGGTTTCTGAAGCAAGCTGCAACTGCTACGGCAAGCAGTAGTCATATATTTGAATGTTGAGCAGCGAGCTCATTGACTACCAATACAGGAGAGAACCAATCAGCTGTGCCATGTGATAATGATGTCATTAGGTCAGATTGAGTTAGACCTATCGGACTGCGCCATCTAGAGTTTCATGCCAGAACTCTGTGTATATATATATTTTTTTTTTTTGTGCTACTGTCATTCATCTTTAACTTTTAACTTAACTTAATTTTTAACATTTCACAAATTAAATGAGATAAAATTGCCTCTACAAGTCAACTGAAACAAACTAAAGTGAAAAACAAACAAGGAATAAATCCAGGAGTTTCTTCACACATATTGATAGGAGCTTTTACTGTATGTCTTACATTGCGTCACACGCGGTGGGCGTGAAATCCAGCTTATGCTTGGTTTTAAAAAAGCATCTCTTGGTGCGGATCTCCAGTATGGAAGGTGGCTGCAGAGGGAAGGCCAGGGCAAACAGAGCCAGCTGAGGAGGGACGGGTTTCCCATCTGCTGTCCTCTCATTCTGCCCATACAAGAACTTCAAACGCCCCTGAAAGTTCACGGCCTATAAGAATACAAGCCATATATTTAACACATTTGAACCTATGTAAATACATTCCACAGCATTTAGCTAATTTTACCCATAAATATACACAGAAAATGTGATTCCATCTGGGCCTTCTCATGATATGACACCAGGCCTTGCTATCTTTTGATCACTTCCTTTATGAAATAAGCAAGACTGTGACCTCTCTTTGAACCCAAAATATAAATAAGATACATGATTTAAGAATAGTTGTTTGAGCTGATTATACTAAAAGACTAAATTATTCAAATGTGTATTATTAAAATTATTAATGATTAAAGTGCTAATAAAGTGCTAAGTGGTGCTAACAGGGATAGTTCACCCAAAAATTGTCATCATTTACTCACCCTCAAGTTGTTCCAAACCATTGACTTTCATAGTATGGAAAAAATACTATGGAAGCCAATGGCTACCATCAACTGTTTACTTACCAACATTCTTCAAAATATCTTATTTTGTGTTGTTTGAAAAGTCTGATAAAGGTAACTTTTGAGATAGGAAGTCTACATGTAGAAATGATCCAGCAGAGGCAGTTAACTGAGAAACATCTCAACAGGCTGAGTCATAACTCCAAGCTGTGTGGAAGTCATGTACTATAAATGAACTCATCCAAACAAGGACTGATATGATCTTAACATTATAACAGATGCATCATTATAGTCTTACCATCATACAGAATCTTAATATTGGTTCAAACAAAGCTAACAAAAGTATCTTTTGTTGTGTGTGAAATTACTTTGTATGTAGAAGCACAAGATAATTTCAGTAATTTCAGCCCTCATTCTAGATTATTACATTATCATTAGTACTCCTCAAAAAACGTGATGTACAATACATGGTTGTTTACAGCAAAAATCCTTAATTACAGGGTTTTTGAGGTGCACACTGTTTTAAAATCCCTCATTATTCATAATTTCTCACACACTTTCTGCAATGAATTCAGCTCAATGAACAGACTCCATTCAAACTTGTTTGTAGACAGTTTCAGCGTTCAGTCTGTTATGGTATGCTGTATAATTTTGACTTCTTAAACTTTATTCATAGGAGAGCTCTGACTAGACTTTGACTTCCTTCAAGCTTTGGTTGGTACTGCAAATAATGTCAGCCTTGCATGTGTTATCTAGTCTTTTCTTTTCTTTATAAATTTGTTTACAGGCATCCAAAATTAAATCTTCTGTGTTTTCATTTTAAAATCTCCCATCACATTGTCAGAGCTTTCAGCACTCAAAATCTACCAGCAATAATGCTACTGTAATAATTATAGATATAACTTTGATGTAAAAGTTTGCATAAAATGTTTTTTCCTGTCTTGCCAGCACTGGTAATGAATTCAGGTCATCTATATAAATAAATATGGTTACTTAAAACATTCTGTAAAATAAAATAAAAAAATCTTCTTCATCTGCTGCCTAAGGAAATCAACAAAGTAAAATCTCTTACCATAAAATATATATTTGTTAAAGTGTCAGGAGTGAATATTTAAAGTCTATATTTTAATTTATTTATTCACTTTAATGTATTTATGATCATTTTCAACTTACAAGAAAGCCAGAGGAGTTATTCAAAAGACATCTTAACCTGCAAACAAAATTTCGCTCCAGAAAGGTGGAGTTCTCTGGTGGCAACTGCTCTGGACTGTAGTATGTCTGAGGCAGCGGTGCATCCTGAGAAGCTTGACAAAAACAAAACAAAACTTGAATATAGAGAAAAGCATAGTTAAATACAAAACTGTTTAAAATTACACAACATAAAAAAAAACCAGGAAGATAATGCCCCTGCTGCGTAAGCATTTCTATAACTCATTGGTGGTAGTGTCCTTGCTGATGGCTGTCTGGAACAGCTGTCCTGTGTGTATAGTTCCGACAATAACAGGACTTTCAAACTGCCAAGTGTTAGATCTCTAATGGAAACTGATCCAGCTTGGTTTAGAATAAAAAGCCCAAACTGAAACCAGAGCAAAGTGGCACAGCCTTTGAACACCAGCCATTAGAGGATGTTACACATACGAATCTGAATCCTCAGAGCACATATAACTGAAAACCATGTAGTAGGGTACTGGTTAAAACATGGCCCATGATGAAAAAAATAAATAAACACACAAACGTATTTCTAAGAAAAAAAACATTTAGATGTCTTATCAAATTGTCAAATTGAACAAAGATGATATTTCAGATCCATTGTGAAAAGGTCAATAAAAATTTATTATTTTAGTTTTAAAATCATGTTATGCATGGATTTATTTCCTGAAAATTGTAGAATAGGATGTTTTGTCTCTCACAATGGAACTTTGTCAAACTTTGTTTGCAGACACACGCAATCCATCTTCTTTGACTCTTTGTGTTGATGGAATGGGGACAGAATCTTTCAGGCACAATGCCCAGGTCTACTCATGGTCTGTCTGGAGAGATGTTTTGTTATTTTCTACCTTGCACTAGCTGTCCGGTGTCTGGGATGCAGCTGGGGTTGAGTGCCCAGTGGAGCTGCCTCTGAAATTCAGCCCGGTCTTCAGTGTGAACGAGCTCATAAACACTCTGATGGATGAGATCCGACTGCAAAACAATCACATCAGCTTCACTCTAAGTAGATTCACAGCTGCTCATTACAGTTAGAAAATGTCCCAAACTGAATTAAGAAATCTGAATCTCAATGCTGAAATAGAGACCTGTTTTTTTCAACCTGTTTTTATCTATATGTGCTCAAAGCCTGCTTTGTCTGGCTGCACCCAAACATACTAATCCAAGTTCTTTCATGACAACTCTCGGCGGGACTGGCTTGGTAATGTACAAGACAATGTTAATGTGTTTGGTCTTGGCGGAATAGATCTGCTAAGCTGCTGCTGCTGTGGCAGAGCAAGTACCAAGACTTGCTACTGCCAATACATCCGCAACATACCGCTGTGAGCATGTAAGAAATACTGCTGCTGCACATATAACATATGAAATAACCCCCATAGTATACATGAATCACCCCTGTAGCAGATCTATACAGGTGGAGCTAGGGAAGGTGGAGGGTTTCTGAAACGTGCTGCAACTGCATCATGTTTCACACTAGAATCATGTTTGTGGGAATAAGCTGGAATTTCACACATAATAAATTCTAAAGCTGCAATGAGGAATCTAAAAGACTGGTTAAGATCTCTTTCCACTGTTTTTTCACAACAACAACTGAATCATCAAGTAAAATGTGTTAAATCAAGTGCATAATGCTTAATGTAATGAACCCTAAATCCTTCTGAGAGAGTAGATCCACTAAACGGAGAAGAAATGTGTGCACTGCAGAACAGAACATGGATTGTTTGTTCTTTCTCGAATAGAAGGTGCCAGAAGACCATTTCATAAATGCAAAAACCATTTGGGCTGCAGTTCCTTTTACCCCCACAATATATATGCAAACCAGTACAAACCTGATGGAACCCCAAGTAGTCCTCAATGGTGGAGGAAGCATAGAAAATTGTGTCATTGGAGGTGACCACCAACACAAAGCCATTTATAGCCTATAAAAAAGAAGTTATACTGCTAATAAACAGAATTCTAAATCCATTTTGTTTTGTTTTTGACTTTTCTGTTGTTTGATTCAAACATTAAGGTTTCACAGGACACATGAGCTCACCTGTAGCAACAATTCTCCCTCTGGCAGCTCCTGAATGTGTGGTTTAGTGTTATTTGCTAGCTGGTTGGAGTACTTTGAATTCAGGGTCACTGCAACAGCAAACAAGCATTAAAGTGGCTCCGCACAATAGCTAAAACATAATACACATTCTTTATCAAAGACATCATGAGGAAGTTATGGATAACAATTCATAATATGTAATAATATCATATTAGGGTACTTGATCAGGCATAATCAAACAAGAGCACAACTTCCTGTATTAAAAAAAAAATTCCTGCATCAATAATGATTGTGAGAGGGAAATCTGAAATAATGTATAACAATGGCAACTTGAAACGTGTAGCTGTTGGCATCTGAACTACCAAAAACTGAAAGCAAATTATAATGCCTACTGGTTAACAATAAACTTGTGCTTGGCACACATCACATGATATGTTTGCTCATGGAGTGGTTATGACATGCAAGGGCAATGAGAAGGCAGTATCTGTAAAAACACAGACACTGGGTCAATAACAAATAAGAGTGCCCATAATAATAATAAATCTAGTTAAGCACATGTGGCAAGTACTTAGAAACATTCTTTTTGTATTCATGTTGGTTTCATATGATTCTGAAAAACTTTTTTTTTCTTCTTGATTATGATTGCAGGACAGTTATTTCACCCTGACATCAAAGATGAGCTGTATTCAATCTGTATTTATTGTATAAATCAAATAAATATATTTTTGAATAGATTCAAAAATAAAATGCATTTGAAAAATATGACCCAGTTATGTGACAAACTAATTAATTGATCAAATATATAAATCGTGAACTTAGATTCTTCAAGCGTATGAACTGTACATTAACTCTTAATGATGGCAAGAACACACAAAAGTACTCTGATTCTGCCAGGAAAACTCATTTATATTGAGAACAGTGAATATATCCACTGCCTGCACTTACTGACAGTAATGGATTAAAATGTGACTAATAGTCATTGTGTCAACAACCCCCTGGATTTGGAAGTGTGTGCCAGTAAAACATTAAAGGGGTCATATGATGCGATTTCAATTTTTCCTTTCTCTTAGAAGTGTTACAAGCTCTTGGTGCATAAAGAAGATCTGTAAAGTTGCAAAGACTAAAGTCTCAAATCCAAAGAGATATTCTTTATAAAAGTTAACGAGTCAACCATGCCTACATAAAACGGCTCGTTCTAACACGCCCCCACGTCTACGTCACGATGTGAGACGATTTGCATAACGCCGCCCAAATGTTCACGCAAAGAAAGAAGGCGTAACTTTTATTCTCGCTGTAGTATTGTTGCAGCCGCCACCATGTCGTGAAGACGCTGTGTGTTTTGTTGTGAAAGCGAAACTACTTTGTTTGGCCTTCCAAAAGAGGACGATATCCGCTTCGCCATGCCTACAGCTGATCCGTGCTGGTCGCTGAGGAAATGCATAAATTTTGCGCTGTGGATCGCCGGATCGGCTTTCACCGTGGACGAAGCGGAGTCCAGCCCGGGTTGCCGCAAGCCCGCCGGCCGCACCATTCTCAAGCTCACCGGCCATTCCTCATTCAAGCCCGCCGTGTGTGACGCTGTGTGTTTCATTGTGAAAGCGAAACTACTTTGTTTGGCCTTCCAAAAGAGGACACAACTAGAAATCAGTGCTTAAGTTGTATTTACAACACTGTTCCAGAACAGTTCAACCCAAATATTCAGATGTGTGCAGCACATTTTATGAAGGAGTGTTTCCTGATCCTGGTAGAGTACAATGCCGGCTATTCTGACTCACAGACTGTAAGTACGTTTCATATTTAAAGGATTCGCCACTGACGATTCAAACGCGAGTTTTGAGCAGTGTAGCGTAGCATTTGCTGTTTGTCATTTCTCCGATCACAAATGCAGACATGGTTTTATGTTTACGCAGCGCGATGCAATGCGTAAAAAGACAGTATAAATCATTATAATCCGTAATTATGTCCCCACTGGATGCAACAAATGCCTCGTTTATAATGGGTTTTAATGTTTTTGTCTTGTCGTCCGGCTGGGACACTGCATCACAGTATGGTAAGGGGCGTAACATTTCCGTCACACGCTTGAGGTATTCGGCCAATCACAACTTATGTCCCCACTGGATGCAACAAATGCCTCGTTTATAATGGGTTTTAATGTTTTTGTCTTGTCGCTCTGGCCTGACAGGGCATCACAGTATGGTAAGGGGCGTAACATTTCTGTCACACACTTGAGGTATTCGGCCAATCACAACGCACTGGATAGCTGGCCAATCAGAGCACACCTTGCTTTTCAGACCGATGAGCTTTGTAAAAATCGACGCATTTCAGAAAGTCTATGTGGAAAATAATGTGTTTTTTGAACCTTAAACCGCATAAACACATTTCATTACACAAAATACACAAAATACTGTTCTTTTTAGCAACATCATATGACATCTCAAATGATGTTCCTGCATGCTTCTCATGCAACGTCTGTCAATGTCTGGCCCTAAAGATCCCCACACACTGGTTCACATCAAACCTTGGCAGGGTCTTTGATGCTACACACACAGCACCTCAGGTCAAAGTCTGCTGCTGGAGTCAGTAACTATCAAATATTTTTTTTTCGTAACTTTTCAACCAAAGTCAAGAGGTCAACGAGTCTGTTTCAATTACTCACACAAACCCAGACCCTCCCCAGCACTGGCCCCCAGACAGTAGAAGTAATTACACACAAAACACACAAGCAACAATCAGCACTCCTGCTTAGCCTGTTTCTCATGGAATCCCTTCAATGCTGGCCACCTCACCACACTTCTGCATTAGTCAGGATAGAGGGAAGAACATGAGCTAGGAGAAATCAGGTGTGGATCTCAATTAATTTAACCACTATTCCTGGCCTTTTATAATATGTTAAATATTGCCCAATTCCCTAAATAATGATTGAGTAACTTCCCTGGAAAACGGTTCTGGGTATTTTTTACACTTGACAGCTTATTGCTTAACAAAACTTAGACTGTTGCCTTTATAAATCTCAATAAGGATGTACAACTGCACCCTTGAGAGCATAACTGTGCAAGGCTTGTCTGAAATACATGCATGCACTACATAAACTGTGATATTAAACTCTAAGATACTAAGTCTATTCTCGGACTGTTATTAAACAAGGTAATGATTAACATTTCAAAGATATGTTTAAAGGACTGATCAGGGCAGCAGTTCAGATTTCTACTTGCCCTGCCAACATTTTATCTTTATCTAGCTCATAATTTTATATACAGTAATATATATATATATATATATA